CCTTAACAGCAACCCAGAAAACCTATCGTCAACGTCGTCAAAGTTGAGTGGCACGCAGCCCTCACCCGAATCCTAGCATCACCATTTCTACTGGCACCCCTCAACCCCAAACCTCACACACTCTTGCCTAAGCGAGACTTTCAAAAAAAGGAGAGCCGGCGCCGTCGTCGACCAAACATTCAACCTGACCATGAATCTGGGGTAGATTTGAGAATGGTACCTGATGTTTGAAGTTTCGTAGTCCTACGTTGTATTTCTAGACGTCGAATGAATAACGAAAATTGAAATCCGGCTTAGGAAGAGACGGAGGATGACTCCCATCAAGGGCTACCTGGGACAGAGCCTGGTTGAGGTTTCAGGATTCAGGGTTTGTGGTTCATGTCAATAGATCTTAGCTCACGATCGAAGACCCATGTTCTAGACGTGGCGAAGAGTAACATGTACAAGGATGCCGGTTTGAGGGCAAGCGCGTCGAGCTGCATGTCCTTGCAGAGCAGCGGTTCAAAGACACTACGACGATGCTATGACAGTCTGGGTTGCTGGTAAGGAACTTAAATTAAGTTACCGTAATGGGTATATATATAGTAAATAATATGGTTTCTCCAATATAGTAACTTGAATTAAGTTCCTTAACAGCAACCCAGCAGTTCTGAACAGTATGAGGCAAGCTCAGATGCAAGAGGTGCATCTCTATGCCAGCATGGTCATACCCTATGTGTCCCTAAAAAACTCCTAGATATCCCGATGTAACCCCTACATTTACAGACACCCTTAAAGGGACCCCGGGTTCAGGTTGGGCAGGTCTCGATATGTACATGCATGTAATCCCCTTCCCCGAAAATGAAAGTTTTACTGCTGGGTTGCGGGGGTTACATGTATTCCCAGCGAAATATTTGACATGGGGGGGTGTGGGGCGGGGTCTTGAGAGAACGGGTCAAGAAACACAAGCAGGGCTTTCCTTGAAGGGCGCAAGCGAATGTTGGCTTTCGGATTCCAGAACTTGGGAGCCAAGGAAGGTCCCAGTCACCGACATGGAGATCTTTGAGATGGACGCCACTGAAGCTTGCAAACAAGCCCCCGAGGCTGAGGTGCTGGCATCCTTAAACTGGGTTGCTGTTAAGGAACTTACATTAGCTTACCATAATGGGTATATATATATACAGTAAATAATAGGGTTTCCCTAATATAGTAACTTAAACTAAGTTCCTTTGCAGCGACCCAGTAAAGTTCTGACTCCCTTTCCTGTCTTGCAGAGATGAGAGAGGATATTAACGGTTTGCCGCTTGCACAGGGTTTCGTACCGGGGGCTGCTTCTCGAGATGATTTGTTCATGGCAATACTTGGAACTTCATGGGCAGCGAGATGTAGGTTTCCATGCATGTATATCTATATAATTTAGCCGGAATTGTTGTTTTCTCGAGTTCTTATACCCCGTTTCTACTGCCCATGAATTTCGAAAGCATTGATGCAAAACGCCCCTGCTAGGTGGCCTTCCGGACTGCTCACATGTCTGGCTCTATCTTCAAAGTTACACTGCGACTGGGACGAACTTGGCAGTTTCTCGAAGCTAGCATCCCCTCTTTCTGGGCTTCCTTACCATAGGAAACCTGTTTTGGGGGATACATAGAGTCACTCCAACGATACTGCCTCATCTCGGGGAAGAGATGTGTCAGAGTTGGAGCACAACGACCTGTTTTGGTGAGCCGCTACCCGAGGCATGATGCACATACTCTAAGAAGATAGCACAAGCCAAACCATTTGTTCCAAGCTGATCCTAAGGACCTCCCCGAAAAAGGTGGTTCACATTATTCAGATCCTAAACCCTGACCGTTCTGCCCCAGGAGATGTGCGCAGAGAGGGGGGGAGCGCGGAGCGGTTGCTGGCACTCGATTAGCAGGGATGACAACAGCAGGGTTTAAGGTTTAGGCCCAGTTGCGAGGGGATGACCATATGTACTATAGTCTAAACTCCTTAGAGGGGGGTTATATAGGGGATCATATGGGGAACTACCCTAGGGTATATTAAAGGGATACTAGGAGTTTAGACTACGGCTCACATGGCTTAAGGGCTAGGATCCCGAGATCTTCCGAGTTCAGGCAATGAAGGAAACCATGATATTGTGGCATGTGGTATAGTTGCAACTGTAGCTTCTTTTGCTGCCAGTCTATTAGGTGCCCTGGAACAAGCAAACACCATGAAGTGGTGTGATGGCAAATTTGCAAGCTAGCAAACTGGCAGCAGCAGCAGCAACAACGACAACATCATACGTGCTTAGTAGCAGAAAGAACAATTGCGGTCGTGATCTGAAAAGTGTGAAGAACGAAGAATGACGGAAGCATAAGATTTTTTGGGGGCATCTCTACCTTCCGAAGGTTCTTTACATGTTTTTTTTTTCTGCTTACTTGTGCTGATTTCCTGGGTTAAAGAAAGGTTGTGGAGACCATCCGAAGCCTCAAGCATCGACTTCTCTACGCAACATTGGGCTGCGAGGATTCCGGACTGCTTTTCTGGGTTTTAGGGTTATGGAGAATCAAAAGGACAAGAAACTGAAAAATGAAATTGAAAATGTGGTTGTTTTGTGGTTTATAGGGTTTAGGGTTTCCCAAAATTACTAGGTTGCTGTCAAGGAGCGTAAAATTAGGAACCATATTATGGGGTATATAATAAAGAATAGGGCTTCCTTATTACGTAAAGTAGTTTGGGCTAGGTTCCTTCGCGGCAACCCAGCTGTGAGAGGTTCATGCACATTCCCTAACGACAAAAAATCAGCCCCCATAATAACGAATGCCTCAACATTGTACTATCATGTTCGTGAAAATTGACAGCGGGGAGGTTTCTGATTAGGGGAGGGGATTGGATAGTTCTGGAGGATCTATTTTCAGGCTTCTGTACAGTAGGATCTTTGCTAGATGGGTTTTTTGGTTGGTATCATAGAGTCAGAATATTGGTTGGTGTATAAACGGGGGGTCCATTTGGGAGGCGACTCATTCAACTACTACCTTGTATAGGCTGTGTGGAGAGGTTGATTGGGATTCTACACAGGTAATCATGCAAGGGTGTGATTGGATCATGCCGGTTCTTCAAGGGCGTATCTACGAGTTTGGGGCTTAGGTATTCGCGCTTGAGGGTCTAGCGCTAGCTTCTTTTTTTTGAGTGGCCTGACATGATCTGTAGAAGAAGCCGAAATCAACATTTTTTCTGAACCACCTCAGCATGTAAGGACCAGAATACCATATCTGACGCTTTCTGGATTTCTTCTGAAGAAGGGCAGTCCATGTCGAAGCATGAAGTTCCTTGATTTCCGGGCAAGTTTTGTTTTTCTTGGATGTTGAAACCTATCAACAGATTATGATGTTTATGTCTTAAAGCCTTTGCAAAACCTTAGCTGGCCACAACGACCCGACCTGATGTCCTGGCACAAATGCAGAAGATTTCGCTCGTCCCAATAAAAGCCCCAAGGTCGAAAAAGACAAACCATATACAAACCTCTGGGAACCTTCGTTTTGGGAGACACAGAGCGAAATTAGAATTGAGGTCCTGGAGGAGTTGAAGCTCGGACTCTTCTCGCAGGTGCAGAAGATGACGTCAGTTCAAACTCAAATGAGCCTCGGAATGAAGGTAGATTGGGCTGCTGTCGAGGCATGTAAGTGATTTTGCTACAATAAGGCAACCTTATCATTTAGAGAGATATGTCCGTCGTTTGGTAGGTTAATTAGAGTTCCTTAATTAAGAGAGACCAAACAGTGATTGAAAGAGGAGTTTTGGAAGCTTTTGGTTTGGTGCTTTGGGGGTTAAGTTGACTAGCCTGGGTTCAGGGGTATGAACTTCTCGCTGCTTGGGCCTCTAAATCCTAAACCCTGCATGCCTGTATATAATCCTATAATCCTCCCCAAGCCCTAAACCTTATTCTAGACTAAGTCAGCCCTGCAATAGATGGCACAGGAATTTGCAGCGGGTCATTGTTGCTAATGGGCTGGGCTTGTGGAATCAGGTCGCCAGGGTGTGAGGTTTGGTGATCTTGAAAATTATACCTCTTTTCCCCAACAAAACCAAGCTTTGATGTTTTGGAGCAGGAAAAAGTCCAAATCCGGCAAAGACATCGCGGCCTACGCGCATACTGCGACGAGCATGGACTGTGGCACCAGGGCTGTTAAGTGAGGTGGGGAGGTCTCCGAATTTCATTAAACAGGGGCCTTTATGTTTGAGCCTGAGCTCCAAAACATTGAGGTGTCCCTATGTCAGAGTCCTCCATTTGGGAAACGTATACCAGGCAAACTAGCACTTTGTATTTTCTATTTCCTAATCCTTCTATGTTTCACAAGGCTGGTCGCAGCACTCTCCAACAGTAGCATGTAGAATCCCTACAAACCTGAGACATGTCTGCAGCTTAGAAGCATTCTTGTCACTGCAGTGGCCTGCACTTTCCTCACAATTGCAGCTCCTGGAAGCAGGAAACCCTGCTTGTATCTGAGGCATGCAGGAGCACAGCTCCATCAGCAAGTTCAGCATGGGCAGCGATTCCATGAGATATGGACGGAATGAGCACAGTGCTGCTTCTGCATTTTCAACTGTAAGCGCGGACATCAAGGGCTTCATGGACTCCATGACATCCCCTGTCCCGGTGCAAGAAGAGCTGCCAATCGTTCTGCAATGGACCCAGAAGAAAGTTGAGTACCCTCTGCGATTATCCTCGGTAGGAATGACTGTCAACGGATTCGGCAAATACGTGGGCATGGGTCTTGTCCAGCGAAGCATTGAGGAAATGCTGGGTTCCAAGGACCAGGCTCATGCAAAGCAGTTCCAACCGCTAGTCCTGGAGATGCGAAGCTTCTTCGTGGCAGAGAGGAATCGCCGCGCAAGTGGACAGTTCGCACAGTTTCAGCATATGCTCCATGATGCGGTGGTAGGCTCGCCGGAATACTCCCATTTTGTGACCTGTCAGCTCAGCAAGGCAAGCACGTTCGAGATGCCGTGTTTGTAGCAGAACTCAACAATTGTTTGTGGAAACCCTACATCAGACCTGGAAAAAGTCCCCTCTGATTTGTGGTTGACGCCCGGAAGTCATGCATCAGGTGACGTGGCTGGACATTGCAAACAGGACCTGGACGATTGACAAGGTTTTCCTCAATGACATCCTGCCAGCAGGCATCATGCTCTCCCTTAGGTTGTTACGGTTTTCTTGTTGGCGGCAATCCATGATGTTGGGGCCCGGCTTGATAGACTTAAAATAGCCGTCAGCCTCAAAAAAACTGAGGCAATGGCTATGGTGCCAAAGCAGTGGCTGAGCACTTGCTAGCTCCTCCCGAGCTTCTTTCCTTTTCTGAGAGGGATATCAGCACGAAGGTGATCTATAGAAACTTCGACTGAAGCCCCTCTTGCACCTTGAGTAGAGGCAGCATTGCGAAGAAGAGCACCAACGGTTTGATAGTAGCAGCAGCTGCTACAAAGGACATGGTAGAGCACTTCATTAACGCCTTCATGCTTTAAGCCCCCGAAGGTTTCTGCAGTGCTGGAATCCAAGGCTTTTCTTCCAGGCGGGCGACTCTGCGCAATGGCTTGGAAGCTTCATGGAGTCTGTTCCCGCAACTAGGATGCATTTGGCCACTGCCGTTTTTCCCCAACCCACAGCCCCATGCTTTCTATGATGCGGAGCTCGGTAGCCAGGACCCTCAGGCCAGGGGGTTGCTTCTGGGGTGCACAATGAGGTTGGGTGTAGGTTATTCCATCCATCAAGGGGAAGCTCAACATACCTTGTGGGTTGTAGATATCTGGCCCAGCCGGGGCCAGACTGGAGGCCGGGCCACGCCTCCCGATGCAAAGGTACGATTAGGATTGCAGAGTTCATTGAACTTAGTGACCCCTGTTGTGCTTAATTGAGGTGGTAGGCACCTTAGGGATAAGTCAATTGCAAGGGTGCATTGACACGTTTTTTCGTACCTTTCCGAGTCACCTTCCCATCCCAAAGGCTGCTCAGCAACGATTTTTCCACGCAAAAGTGGCCTTCTCATGTGAGTAGATTTAATTTGGGGATACTATGGTACCCAATATAGAGTAAGATTATATCCTCCTTTTGGGGTATGGTGTTTTATATAGTTTAACCACCAAAAAAACACTACTCATGTGGCTTCATGGTGTGTAGCTCAGCTCTACCTGAGTCGTCTCAAGATTGGCCAAAGCTTCGGGCCTTGGGAATGTGGGGAGCGGAGCGGCCCTGATGTGAATTGAAACAAGCACAACCAAAACACCATGGAGAGCTAATCTGGGTCGCTGCTAAGGAACTTAATTGAAGTTACTATATTGGGGAAACCCTATTATTTACTATATATACCCATTATCATAACTTAATTTAAGTTCCTTAACAGCAACCCAGTAATTTGGACTTGGCTTGCCTTTGCTTCCCAAAGCTTCTCATGCAAATTTGATACGTATGTATGTAGAGCTGGTGCTCGTGCTAGACCGTTCAGGTTGCAAGCTGGTGGGGAGCATCTATGTGGTAGGATGTAGATGACAGCGCAGGCAAGGCTAAACTTCAAGATCTAATTTGAACCTGATTAGGCTCGTGGATCCACATGCGCGCTCCCGTCATCCAACTTCCCCACTAAGCGATTCCCCGATGCTTCTCATGGGAGTCCTTGTGCTACGCCACGTCTTCGGAAGCCACGTATACAGATCAAGGATGAGTCATCGATTCTCAACAAAGTATTTACGAAAATAGTGAGAACGTGAGGAGCCTTATACCCGGAGGACCTTTGTGCATATTCAGAAATCTCTGGAGCAGCGTGGTATAAGTCATGGCCATAGTCAAGCCGATCCGAGCACTGTAGGTCTGATCTTAGCTTTGGTGTGGTGCAGAGCACTGAATCCCCAAGTGGTCTTAGCTTTTCCAAAATACAGCTATCGTTATGGGTCCCATCGCTTCGTACTAATCCTAAACATTCCCCTAATAATAAATATTTCCCACGATAAACCTGACATATTGGAGGGGCATATTTGATAGTAGGGGTGGCGTTTGTAGGTGTGCAGACCCAACACGTTAAACCCGCATCCTCGAGTAGGACATTGAGAAGCTGGTGGTGTTGGACATTGTCAACTGGAACACCTACATGCGGCCAGATTTGCATTGAAGGAAGCCCTTTGTATGATCTGCGCTCAGAGACATGCAAGGAATGAGGATCCTCACTGCCTTAGCTTAATTGTTGTTAGTAGGGAATAAGGGAACATTTTATATAGGGTCAAGGGTATAGTGTTTAGGGTTTAGTTTTCTTTTGTTCCATTATCCATATTATCTAGGGATTATATACCCTAAGCCCTAAACCCTTTTCCCCTAGGGATTATATTCCCAGGTTTACTATTAACAACCAGTAAGCGAAAAGATGTGGCGGCAGGCCAGAACTGAACTCCGACCTCAGGGTTAAGGGTTTGGGGATTTTAGCGTTTTGGAGATTACGGTTTTAGGGCTTGAGAGTTTAGGGATTTAGGGTTTCAGGCTGTAGGGTTTAGAGTTTACGGTGTTCCAAAAAGGTTCAGGGTTGCGTTGGCTGAAGATTGAGCATCAGATTCGTTCAGCCGCATCTAGCAAACCAAACAAGCCATCAACTCCCAGTCTTGCCATGCATTTTCATTTGATTTCTCCTGCAGTGCTCCTGGCTAGTCAGGAAGGAAAGCTCCATCTCTTCAGTGCCTTGTAAACCACGAACATGACCTGAAAGCACAGTCACTACTACCAGTGCAGTTCGTCGTCTTAGCCACAACAATGGCCTGGCCGACATGCATGGACAACAGAAGGACATAGGAACAATCAAGAGGGAGACTCCAAGTGTTCTTACATTCTTGGGCTTAGCACCCTGCATCCTATCAGCTGGGGTCAGGATGGAATTTAATATTGGCGCCAGCCCATCCAATTTTGCTTCTCAGTCGTAATGCAATCGGACCTCGGCAGCCGGGCTGTCAGGAAATGTTTCCCAAGAAGCGCAAGAGACCACCATGAAAACTCCCTACATGGCTTCGAGTAGGAATCAACCTGTCCACCATTCGGGAGGTCTAAGTAAGCACCAGGACTCCTGAAGTCATACAAGGACGCACAAGAAGAGAAGACTTTTTGATAGCAGCTATGGCAGCAACCTGCAAAATAATCACGCTGCGCCGATACTAGGTGACGAAGCTTAAAAGGCCCTGGATTTGCCCTTGATTTCCAGGTTACTTGCAGGGCTTGAAGAATGAGTGGTATGGTTTCCCTGCATTTTTACCATTTGCTCCTAATTGCGCAACTTTACTCCATGATATGTGACGTCTAGCCAAGGCTCATGGCTGTTGCTGGGAGCACCGAGGAGGAAGCCAGCAAAAAGGTGCCTCGGCCTTTTGGGATTCGTGGGTCTCAGAACCTGAGGCCAGGGTGCGGGGTGGGGTGCACTTAGGAGTAAGGCTATGCAGTTTGTTTTGGGGTTGGGAACAGTTAGTTCCCCAAAGACATTCCATAAATTAATAACGATCTTACGCCTCACAGCATGTCAGAGTGGGTAGCTGCTTCTTCGCGAAAAAATGGTATTGTGCCCATACTTTACGCCTCACGCCAGCTTTAGAATGGGTACCATCCTCTTATCAGATCTGCTTCAAGCTCGACATGCTCAAGCTCCAGAAAGGAGGAGCGGGCGCGTCACCAGGAAAGGCTCATCTATGCCGAAAGCTGCAATGGGCCCGTCTGGAAGCCTGTACATAATTCCCTGGCTCTGCTCCTGCTGCTCCTCCCAATGCTGTTGTTTGCTGCCACTTCTACTGCTACTGCTGTTGCTATTCCTGGAGTTGCGTGGGGGCAACAGCCCTAATAATCACAGTCCTCCCTCATACTTGTATCAAGGTAGGGGACGTCCTGGACTTTGCCTTGTCCACTGAGCTCCAGAACTCCGGGCCTCTCGCACACGGAGTTTAGTGTCTAGGGCGTTGCATGATGAAGCTGTAGAGGGAGTCGAGGGAGCGGAAGAGGACTGCTGGACACCCCAAGATACCATAGTAGTTTCCATTTTCTTTTCCATTATACCAATATAACCCCAATATACTATAGTAGTTTCCATTTTCTTTTCCATTATACCAATACAACCCCAATATACTATAGTAGTTTCCATTTTCTTTTCCATTATACCCATTATGGTAACTTTATTTAAGTTCCTTAACAGCAACCCAGTACCGTACTGAAGGAGGCAGCCACTTCAGAGCTTCAGAGAGGGGAAGCTCTGAAAAGACGTACTCGCATGGGCCTTGAGTCTGAGTATGGTTTTAAACTGTTTGCTCCCAAGCTTTCAGCCGCAAAGCTGGTCTTGACCAGCTGGAGGGGTTACGTCAGTAAATGGTGATTTTTTCAGAATAAGGGGTACCTTTTTGGGGGACCCCATAACATGGACTATAGTATTTTGGGGTCTATGTTAGGGTTCCCTTCTTTTGGGAAAGTACCATATGAGAGGCCAGTCAGCAGTTTGGATACACAGTCCAGCAGATGAAGGGCACAATCTGCCAAAAGATGCCATACGCTTGTAGCTAAAAGAGGCAGCGTGGATGCTGCGCAAATCCTATCCCGCCTTTATAACCTTGACGTAACCATGATAGAATATCGTCGTCAAACTTGTCAAAGGCGACCACCAAGCAGTAGATCGCCCGACCATGATAGAATATCCCCAACAATTCGAAACATACCTGGAACCCTCAAGTGACGGCAGGCTCGCTTATTCAAAGGCTGTTTTGGGCGGCCTTTCTTGGGGTGGACTGAAACATTGATAACGGTTTAAAGTTTAGGATTCATATGGGCCTGACTGATTGCAAGAACAGCCGGGTCCAGGGTAATTACATCCATGCTGCCTAGGGCACATTACACCTGCGACCTAGACTACGATATCTAGTAGTAGAACCATTTGCACTTACCCTTAGTGGAGAGTCGATTTGGAGGTCATGCCTGAAGCCTCCGTAATCTGTTCACCCATGCAAACCATTCCCCCAAGCGTTCCTACTTAGACCTGAAAAAGGCGCCGGGGAGCCTTTATGGCAAGCAGGATTGCTTTTTCTGCATAGGGTTTAGAGTAGCTAATCACGCTGAGATCCCTCTATCCAAAGCAGTTCCATGTCATCACCCATGCTTTATCCTTCCTTTTTCTCGCTAACAGCAAGCGCTACCATCATGGGGGTGCCTGAAAATGAGCCTCTAGTAGACCGCGGACACTCCAACACCCCTTGATTGAACCCTCAAGCCAGCAGAAGAAGGTTGACCAAAGATCAGCTCTCAAAGGCCCAGGGCTCCAAGGGGAAGGGGATTCGGAGTTGAACGTTTCGGGGGTCAAGGTTTGGGAGTTTAAGTTTTTGGAATTTGCGCTTTGGGGGTTCTA